AGTGAAAAAAAAAATGAAAGGCGAGGGTAAAGTGTAGGGGGAGGAATGTTAGTATTTTTGCCTTGTTTATTTCTCCCCAGCGTTTTATTCGGAGTCCTCTCGTTTGTGCTTGGTACTTGGGTCCTCTGTGTGCCACCAGGAACTCGTGAAGACAGCAGAAGCTCTCCCCCGCCCTTTCTGCAATAGTCACAAAGCAAGTGCGTACATTCTCGATGAGGTTACTCTTGTGCAGTCTTTTCAAGAGCGACAGGAGAAGAATCTTTCTTCTGTTCGGTTGCTGGTGGAAAGGGATTGGGTGGGAGAGGGGGGGAAACAGATTTATAAAATGCCAAGTATTGTGGAAATTTAAAGGGACTGTTCCGTATGCACACTGCATAATATTAGAAAATTACCCGTCAAGAATATCGGGAAATGAAAAGTAATGTCAGAAACACATCGGTTTTGAAAAGAGTGACCGGTCTAGGAATCTCGCACGGGCAGTTCATGGCCGCCCACGGGACAGAATTTTGGTTGGATTGTTCACAGACTGCGCTCTGAAATATTTGAATCCAGTGTTGACGGAAGGTTTACAGTGATTACAGATCACAGAGTATGGATTGAGGAATTAATTCGCGTTCCAACGCATTCAAACGTTTTTCTTGTTAACTTCTAGGCGGGTCTAGAACCTTGCAGCACTTGGCGCGGTTCCAGCCGGAAGCCGGAAAGTGACAGCTGCGTTCAACTTTATCAGTGAACGAACAGTCTGTACAGTAAAAAACTGTTTCCTGAAATGTGAGGTATGTGTATGGAATTGTAAATTAAACGTAAATACTTTTAAAAAAGAGAGTGTTTGTTTCGACAGTTTGTCGGAAATATTTGATTACCGGAGTGGATCTGCAGGAGTAATTTTTTTTTTAAAATTAAATTGCATCGTTATGCAACCTGAGAATCACTCACTCTTTCTCCTTTATTCTTTCTGTCTTGGTTTCTGAGTCATCTGCCTCCCCCTTTTCATTGAAAGCTTCCCCCACCCCCGCGACGCAGCCCTGAGTCTTAACCCCGCCACTCACGGGATCACTGCTGATCGATTCTGGCCCGAGCTTATAGGTGGTTACACTGCAATGCCGATATTTTATCAGTTACCAATAATTCAGAACAGTGGTTTATGCCCAGAGTGGGACTCTTGTTCGTGAAACTAATCTGTCCTAAGCAGTTTTTAGGGTGTTGGATCTTATCACGGCTTTTGTATTTGAAAAAAAAATAAAGGCCAACATAAACCAGAGAGTTAGTGTTTCAACCCCCTTGAAGTCCACAAGAGAAGCAGAATTAGGAAGGATAGCCAAGAGTAGGTGTGAAATAATGGTCGGGAAGAAATGAGAGAAATTTTATTTCTGAGGGGAGCAGCTCGGCCTTCTGGTAAAGCTGAGATGGAAGCGAAGACGTTACAGTGGTAAGAAGTATTTAGCTTTAGGTATACTGCGTTCCAGCGTTATTGACCGCTGAACTTTGTGAATTGGAACCTCGGAGCGAGTCACTTACCAGAAGTTTGCTGGAAGCGATGACAACAGGCCGCGTACAGTACACTCCAAATAAAACATCACCACGGAGTGCAACACAGGACAGTCGATTTTACTAAATTACTCATCACTAGAAAATTAACATTGCAGAGATTATTAGATAATTTTGTCTTCTTCACAACTCTTCGGTCCTCTTGCAATTCTTCCGCTCCTCACAGACCATAGCTTTCTGGCATCACTCGATTCATCACTAACGCTGCTCGTGTCCACTCCATTATCTTAAATTATAATACGTTCAATAGCGTCTTCGATTATGCCTGATCAATCGCATAATATTTAGGCTTTGACTTATTTAATTTGATTAAATCGTACAATTGAGCTTTCAACATGTCACAAAATGGGATGTTTCTTTCCAATAGCCAGGCTTTCATTTGTTCCTTCTTTGTGTTAGACGTCGGTGGTTTGTCTGTCTGAGTATTGTGGTACGAGGCGTTGTCAATGACCAAGAAGGAGATTGCAACGAACTGGTGACATGTTGTTAACACAGAACAGTCACAAGACAACAATTGTCAGGTTTCCACACCGCTGCACTGACACAGACTGTACTGACAGACGGAAACTCCTTCCTTCCTTAATTGAATGGTTCGCATACTGGGCTCTCTCTACAAGGTCAGCGGCCATAATCGGTGGATCCAGTTGTACGTGGAGATGAATTATTACCTTCACGCTCCGGCCTCTCTGGACCTAATACCGTAAGCGAGACTGAAGTAAACACCTGTGACGTGTCTGGCCTAGGAGATCACGTGCTTCATTGCTAGCAAATCGAAAAACTTCGTCCTTCTTCTGACATGATGTAAATTCTACGGGAGTTCTTTCCTGACCGGATCCGAACCTTGGTAATTCGGTCTGTAGACAGTCGATATCTGTCATAAACGTCACAACACAATTCTGATGCATACTTGGAAGATATTTGCATGAAAGCAATCGAAATGCATACCCCATGCTGTGATACCAACTTTACCAGTTTTTTATTATAAAACTTTATACATAACAAAACTCTTCCTTATTGCATACATCACAGTGCTTATGACATCATGCGACGGCTTTATAAAAATCTGAATTTAAAACGTTGAGTTATAGGGAGGGGCAGAACATCCGAATTTTAATGTCGTCATGAATTATGAATTAGGAGGGGAGGTGTACTGGCTGTAGGTAGACTAGCTATGTATAAAATGTACCCAGAAGTGTAGTTTCTATTCCCCCCTACCCCCGCCTTTCTCTGAAGATGTGCGCAGTCATGCAGGGCAGGATGAGATGGCAGAGATGCTGACGAAGAGTGTCCTGAGAGATGACGCCCTGCTTGTGTTTCAAGGAGGAAAACCAAAGAACAGGAATTGTTGCAGAATCTCGCTGACCCGTTGAAAAAAGAATTCATAATCGTGATCTGTAGTCGATTATTTACACTGCTGGGCGGAAGTGATAGTTCGTAAAACAGTCGACAGGAACATTTTGGACCCTTTTACTGAGGGTTGCGTGTTTGCTTCCGAGTTATAGGATGCATAAACACAATTTTTTCTCTCTCCCGTGACTGCGTGCAGAACACCCTCGCCTATCGCGAGTATCACATTCTTGAAAACCGCAGCGAATGGTAAAATTGTGACTCGCGACGTTCAGACCTTATGGGAAAATTGGGTCAGGCTGTTCAAAGTCGCACGGAACATGATTAATTGTTATTAAACATGGAAACATCAGGGATGATTTTATTGGGATGACGTCGGCGTTCTTGGCTGGAAGTTGACAGGCTAATCGGAATTACTGAGACGTCAGGTAAGATTGTGGGCTGTTGTGTGTTCTTCCTTGAGCCAGCGAATTGAATTTTTTGTGTGTGTTACGAACATTAAGACGAGCTTCTGTTTCAGGGGCATAAGAGCAGGGATTTGAGATTGATAAGTATGTTTATATCGTGCTGATAAAGAGATTATTCAGCTACTTCTTTACTAATTTCGTGGATTAGGGAATAATTAATCCTGTTTCGACTCAGTTCCTTTTATTTAAAAAAAATAATTTTCTTTGGGCTATTCCTCGTGGCGTTATCCACAATTTTATTTATCTGCTACAGCCTTTTTATGTTTACAGGAAATGTTTTATTTTCTGCAATGTATTAGAATAAATGTTTAGAAAAGAAATTGCTTTTTAATTTCTCGATAAGTTTTAAAGGATATTTTATAAATTTAATAATTTCTTCTCCGGGACTTTCTCTTACACTGTTTTGCGCTACTGGGGGTTCGACTTCCGCCCCACTGACTGGCGTCATGACGCCCTGCAGCGTCTCCGTCTAATTGGAGGACCAAGTTACTATACAATGCTGTGGCACCTTAGCGTGAAAAGAATCTTGTGGGACAAATGATTCTCCACTTAACATACGCGTATTCACATCTGCAGTTGAGTGGTTAGATCGCAGGTCGATAGCAAGAGCTTTAAGATTTTGTCTACGCACAGACTGACCTCATATTGAAGGTGACTGTCTTTCTTAATGTTACACAATATAATCTCGTAGAAACTTACCGACGTTTCAGAGGTAGGTGTAGGATTATAACTCCACGCTATCTTTTGTCGTCTGCCATAATCTGTTCTGTATATTCTTACATGTTCCTCAGCAAATAAGAAAAGGCAGATGAGCTCAGTCAGCTCAGAAATGTTCTGTTCATGGTATATATATATATATATATATATATATATATATATATATATACCATTCGTCATCATATATATTTCGTGAACTAATGGAAATTTTATGAAATTATGAAAATACCAACATTTAAGTTAAATGCAAGTAGTTGTAAAATTGACCTTAAGATCTGTGAGGTCAATTTTGACTCAGATGGCCGTGGCTCAACTACGTAGTGATGTGGACAGCGTATACATATATATGTAGGTGTACCGTTCCATGCTTGTAATGTGGAGCCCTGGAGTGAGTGTAATCCCAGCTGCTGTCGTACGTACATAGGTAGTGAGGATTGCTTTCCAGCTAATCTGTTGTAATGAAATTCCGAATGCTCTAATATTCGGTAGAGTAGCAGTTGGTATTAAGGGTTCAGGGATACCGACCCCTCGCGACCTGCCAGCTATGTGGTGTGCGTGTGTGTGTGTGTGTTACATGTATCGGGTGACTGATGTCAAGGGTGGGGCTGCAGGTAGCGATCAACAAAGCACCGCTGGCTGCTAGATAGACGTCGACGTACTAGCCCTCTTAATCGTCGGAACGCAATATACGTTATATGAGGTAATAGGCTTGAATCCAATAAAACAAGGTACGCTGTCTCAAGTTGTGGGTGGGGGGGGGGGGGGGGGTGGTTAAAATTTTTATTGGACGTCTGTATACGGTAATGTGTGGCCATTCAATTAGGCAGATTCAACAACACTAACATTAAACATTGCCCACAGAAGTACCATAAGGTGTTACTGTGTGAATTTCAGAACTGCTGGTGCTGCTGCATATCAAACAGGACAGACAGGGTATGCTGTGACTCCAACTGCAGCCACTGCGGCTACATATACGGCTCAAAGAGCTGGTACTGGATATGAGACTGCATACCAGACTGCTGCTACTCATACCACAGCTGGCACATATGCAGGTAATTTGTCATTTTTGGTTGTGTGGATGGCATGCAGAGGAACACAGTTCGTTGCTTTAGATTCATTTTTCAATAGAATTTATTTCTTCTGTTTCTTTGTTTACTGTATTTTATGTTGGCATGTACAAATAACCTTTATAGTTTAGAAATTTCAACTTGGGTTCTTTCTTTTAATAAACAAAGCAGCATACTTTCTTGTATTTTAGTTGGTAGAACATTCTGTATCTTTATATCAAAGAAATGACCTTTCTTGAATTCTAGTCATTTCTTTTGAAACATAAGGGACTGTCTTGACAGTCCTTAATGAAGGAAACAGTTTTACAAACGCGACTATAGGATCAGTACGCCAATTTCATCTTGATACATTCTAACGCATTTTGGTAGAATAAGCCGTGTGGATATGTTCATGCGTTACTTGAGTTGTATCATGAGTGTAGTTGGATATTTCAGTGAAATACCATAGAAGTGACCCCCTAAGAATTGACTTCATAATTATTTCAATTTTATATCTTTATAAATTAGTACACGTAATAAAAATATTTATAGATTTTATTGATTATAAATATTGCAGATGAGAATGCTACAAAGTGTCTTGCATTCACATTGTACTTTTGGATAGAAGGAATAGTGAAATTGCACCTTCCTTTTATCGAGTGATACATACATACTGGTAATATTAACTGTAGTCTGTGTACAAAGTACAGTATTTTAAATTTTGGAATAGATTACCCCGCCATTTACTTCTCGGGTAATTAGATGGAGTTAACCAAACTTTAAATTAATTTGTATAGAATTTAACAATTAATGCGTAGATACATCCTTCATTGCAAGCATTTGATAACAGCATACTGGTTGTAAGCTATAGGCTGTACGTGTTCAAGATAAAATCTCAGTATATATTATATTAACAAATCTGTTGTATGTTATGATAAGTCATGGCAGAAATAGCATAACATTTAAGCAGGTTAATGTAATGACCCTGTGATAAGAGCACGTAAGTATGTACATGATGGTTAAAGAGTGGCAGGTGTAAGTTATTTATGCAATGGAAGTGGCTAAGTTATATGGCCAGGTTTTTGTAATAAGTTTTTCAAGGAATGGTTTTTGACGTAAATACGTCTATGCGGAAGGGTCATTCGGCAAAAAAGTGAAAGGAAAACGTGTAAGATCCATATACACAATGTGTATATATGGACCGACAACAATGGTCAGCTTTTATATGAACTCCTGCGTGCAATGTTATGTTACCTAAGAAGTTGCGTCATCTGTTTATTTGGCATTGTTGTGTTTCATTACTGCCGTCAACAATCCGCTTTTGTTATTGCGGAAAGAGCTGAGCTGTGAATCGCTTATAGAAGAAGTGCGTCATAGAGTAGATAATTTTGTGCTGGTAAAAACGTTTTAGAATATCACAGGTACTTATCTTATATAAGAATTATTACATTACATTTCATTACAGAGACGTATTTACGTCATGTTCTCTGGAACCGTGGTTCCACTGTCAACTTTTTCCCCTCTAAGTACTTGTTTAATAGTTCTAGTTTGAAGTTAATTCTCTTCTGTGTTGGATAAGGTAAGTTATGCTTATGCCCAAGTGTTTGTTATGGTATCTAGGGAATTTTATCGGCAGTGTGGAAGAATAATCAGCATCGTACTACAGCTGCCTTCAGCATGGGACTTATTGATTTAAGGCTGGGTGATCTTTTTATGAATGCGATGGGGATAATCGCCAACACTGCATATGGATGAAATCCCAGTTTGTTGGTGTCTTTTGAGTAGGAGATTTTTTAATATAATTTTTTAATAATTTATATTTAAAGGTAAAATTACAGATTATATAAAATTAATTTAGAACACATTCACATTTAAATTATACTAAATTAATGTCATACTTTTACTGTGGACCTGTGTGGCATTTGAAGTAAGTCGTTTAGTTTGAACAGAATATTTAAGATTTGTCTATTCAAATATGGATGAAGTCGTAATATAAGCATTATATTTACAGTATATGTAGGTTTTATTGTCCAAAATTTCTTATTAAAGCTTTATTTCATTTGTATTTAGGTCCCTCCTTTTTCATATGCACGTTTAGTCCAAAAACGGTATTTTACTGTGTACGTCTTGCCTTACTTTCATGACCAATGAGGTTGCATTTTTCTTAGTTGCATATCAAATATACCTGTCTTGGTTTTACCAATATTGTGTTGCCAGTGTAATGATTACAAGTATTAAGGATAATTTTTCTCACGTGCTTAGAGCAAGGTCCTTGTGATTATGTACTCAGCAAATTATTTAATTTTAATTATAATATATTATTCTGTCAAGTCCTTGTCAATTATACCTTAATTGTAAGGTCACTGCATATTGACATGCACAAGAGATATAGAAATTAGCTTCCTAGTGAGTTTTTTTCATAGGTTGGTACCACTACAACTTACCAGACCAAGAGGAAACATCCATGTCTGGTGAAGGGAACAGAATAAAAAATTGGCGGACCGATCCTACAGTTGTTCCAAATTGTATACCTAACCAAGAACAAGGTAATCATTTGTTCAAGTCGGGCCAAGAGAAATTAGACATACTGTATACATAATATAGCTATTTATTGATTATTGTCAATATTTATACATAATATGCCAGTACATTTATATACGGTCATTGTTAGTACCATTTATGCTTGATTTTATGGTTCTTGCTTCTTTTGTTGTGTCTGCATGAAAGTACAAGTAAAAAGAATACAGGATACTGGCTGTGTAGTTGCATGTGTATTTTATATTCTTTCTTTTAGCGTTTAGAATATTCACATAACGTTTACAACTCAACTCTGGTGCAGTGTGGAGCTGTATTTGTAGGTGTACTTGTTTCTGTTGTTCGCTTCCCTCCTAAAGTGTTTTTCAGAATAATTTTTTGTCACAAGTACTTGCTAAGGAACGTATCAAGAGTTTCCAGTGTTTTATTTCTAGTACTGTCTTTTCTGTAAAGGCCATTAACATTGAGGGCCCCAAGAAAAATATTGTTACTACATCAGGAAGGGAAAAGTTTTAGACCAACACTGCTTATATGAAATAAATAAATTTGTAGAACATATTTGATTTCTAATTTCCACGTTGTTGACAGAGTTCACATTTAAAAGATTTTGAACAAGTTTGTTGAACTGGACTATCAGGAACTGCATGGAGCAGGGTCCGTAATGAGGAACTGGTAAATTATTCAACTAATCAAGAAATTACCCAGTTTTTATGGAACTGAAGGTTCATTACTGTGTTTGTAAGAGCTAGCCACCAGTTCCTGTTTTGAGGTTTATATATATATATATATATATATATATTTATTTATTTATTTATTTATTTATATATATATATATAAACACAATACTGCCCGTACCCTGTCACTGTTTCCTTCAGATTTATCCGATTTCCACATAGTTGCAGGTCCTCCGAGAGATCTCTTTCCTTTACGATTCCCATTCAAAATTTTGTATGCACATCGTGTTCTATGCTATGCTACATGCTCTGCCCATCGTGTCCTTGATTTGATTATCTCGATATTTGAAGACAAATGCAAATCGTGAAGCTCATGATGCAGTTTTATCCGGTATCTTGTCATTTAAACCTTCACCCTCAGTTCAAGTTCTCTTTACTGTGAGAGGAGGCCAAGTTTCAGAACCATACAGAACAACAGGCAGTATTGTAGAATAAAATGTTTGTTTATGATTCAGTACATTGTTTTTGAAAGCTTGCAGATTATATTGTTACCGACAAAATTATCCACATTTTCAGTACTTTTCTTTTTCTTGAACGTGATGCATAAGTACCAATTTAAGAAGTTGCAAAGAGCATCTGCCATGCTTGTAGGATTTCAGTTGTGTTGGATTGTTGGTACTTAATAACTGTGAGTAGTTTCTATGTCTGATTTGTGTGAAAACATAATGTGCGTTCTGAACTTGGACCATACTAATGAGTTTGGGTGTTCGAAAAGGCCAGAAATTTGTTAATTTCAGAGCTGACTGCGCTTCCTGCAAGCTTGCCATCTTGTAGATTTAGGTATATGAACTGCAAACAGTGTAATTAAGTCAAGTTAGTGGAAGTTCGGATTGTGGTCTTTTGGGTTGTGAGCATGTAGTCTTGTGTTCTGTCTCTTCAGTAGCAATCCGAGTTATGATGCCATGTAGTCTCGTAGGTGGATATTAACATTTTGAGTCCTCTGAAACTTTGTTACCCATCTACAACATCGCATGTTATCACAACCTGTGAAGATGGTCCATGCTAGCGTTTTCTGCCATAATTTATCAGCAAATGTGCAGGTGTGGACATTGTTTCTGTAACATCTGCTCATGTTCTGAAGATTTGTGTCTTCTGGGTGGTTTGCTCTGCATAGTCTGGTCGATGTTAACTAACGTTTCAGGGGTCATACTGCCTCCCCTCCATCCAATTGGCATATTCATCGCCCTGATGACGGAGGCAGTATGACCTCTGAAACGTTGGTTAACATCGACCAGACTACGCAGCGCAACAACGCAGAAGACAGAAATCTTCATACTCACTGCTGTGAAAACCTCAAATCTTACATGCTTATATTCTGTTTGTGGAGCACCCAATCCACACTGCTGTTGCTTTTTAAGCAAGTGTCTCGATGTTACATCAGACCACTGATGCAAGTGTCGTGTTTGCCAGAATGCACGCACTCTTGTGCAGACCTGAACTTTGGAATCCGTCGTGTTAATGCTGTTATGTTCCTGTAGAATGTACAAGTGTGGACCTGGCTTAAGATTATAATCTGAAATAGAATTGGTATTCAGTATGAACTCTTCCGCAACAATCATTTCCATGGTTTCCTTTCTAAAGGAAAATATATTGTTTCAGTGTTACATTTGTTTTCTTCATTATATTTTGTGACTTTGATTGAGAATTTTTAAGTCTTCACATCTCTTGCATGAAAGTATTTATTTTTGTTTGTTTGTATGTGTATAAGTTTGTTGTTATATAAATGACTGTACTTTATTCAGTGATTTTTAACAGTATAATTGATTTCATTGTAATAAGTTCAAGTTAATTTCTTCTTCTCACCAGATAACTTGACCTGAAGGCTACCATGTGGATTTTCTGTGATGTTGCATCTGAACATTTTGTTTGTAGTTCCATCCATGATTGGAATATTGATTTTCTTAAATTCTTCTTAAGTATGCATTAGAGGAACTGTCTTTAGCTATAAATTGGAATTTTTCAAAATAGAAAAATATATTAGAATTTCTCAAATTTGGTAGTTCTGTTACTTACCACCGTGGAAGTTTTTTTTATTCCATTTGTGCACAATAATAACATTAATTTCTGTTTGTCTGTAGTGCCCCTTGGTATAAAGCATGATCATATATAGGTATATGTGATGAAAAATACCTGTTTGCAGTGAGGTGTGTGGCAGCAAAATATTAAGTCAGGTGTCTGTGACATTTTTGCAGTTTTGTCAGATTGTTACTCATTCCTAGATGCCTCCCTGATTCAGTATTCACGATAGAAGAACCTTTAATAAAACAAATTTTTTTGCGGTATTTAATTTGTTACTGGAATTGTATACCTGAAAGTACTACCATATCACAGAGTTTATTGGGTCCTCTTACTTCGGAGTCTGAAATTATGTTTATAACAGTATTTTAAAATATTCATGCATTAAAACACCACTAAATATAACCATGTAATTATTTGACCAGTGGGTGCAGGAACACCAACGGCAGCAACAACTTATGATTATGGTTACGGGCGGACCGCGCAGACGGCATATGACAGCACGAAGACGTATTATCAGCAGCCCGCCGCTGCGGCCGCCACGTACTCGGCCACCGACACTCATTATCAAGGTAATAGTGACGAGGCTGTTCGTAAAAGTGAATGTTTTTAATGTTATGTTTGTGTTGTGTAATTTTTATCTTCTTGCATATTAGCATCAAAACCAGCGTTCAGCACAACAAGCACGTACACTGCGACAACTCGGCAGGTGACTCAAGCCACTCCTAAAGCTGCGTCTTACAGTTCCGCATATACTACACAAGGGGCTCAAGGAACGAATTATTCGACAGGTTATACTGCTGCTGCTGCTCAGACCACAAATACCACTAAAGGTATGTGTCACTGAATAATACACAAAGAATTAACACCCAATTTCAGAGTGTTTGTTTACAGTGAAATCTACATAGGCCAGCCATTTTACTGTTTACTTGCTACAAACTATCCAGGACATTATACAAGATTGAGTGTTTAGTTGCTATTTTTGTGCCCAGATATTCCTATTTAATTTAAATAATGATGAAGATATTTGTGGTTATTGATTTATTGATAACTTTGCATTGAGCCTCAACGAAACTGTCTGTATACATTTGGATGTTACAAAAATTGGGGACCAAAGTGGAAAATGCATTGTTTACTAAGATAATTTGCACCAACAAGAGATATATCCGCCTTTCTGTACATCCAGCATTATTAACTGATGTATGATCTGTCTTGTCACAATAAGACTTCAGTCACGTGTTCAAAGCGTTGTTTTGCCTGTGTTTGAAAGCAATGTGTTTGCAGCGACAGATTGTGAAGGAAGCTCTAAACACGTGGGTTGGCCAGCTGTGATTGATTTCAAATCGTTTGTACCAGACACGACATTCTGTATTTTTCTGCTGACTGAAACTAATTAAACAGGAAGATTCGTCACTGGGCAAAGCTGTAATCTGCATGATGGAATCAAAACTTCAAGCAGTTTGAAATATAAAACTTTTAGTCTGTGAATATAATGAAGGTTTTGGCCAGGATCCCCCAAAATACTAAGCATCACAATGAAAAAGAGAGATTTTAGATTTGTGGAGACATTGCCTGAGATAGGAAATTTTGAATATGTTCAGAACAGTGGAAACAATTCCATAAGGGAGATCAAGGTACAGTTCAAGCAGGTTACCATGTGAAGGAAGATGTGTAATGGGTTCCCCCAATTTCATTCGGCTGCATAGTGTAATCTTACTTAAAAATCACTCGGGATTTGTTTGTAATAAAGATTATTTCAGTTTGAGTATTGTACAACTTATTTTATTTTTTCTACTGTGACATCAAAGTGGAGGTATGGTTTTGAATAAATACACTGTGTACACTGCGGAAGAGGTTAAAGAGTTGCTGATCTTGGTTTTCCCAACTTTTGCACTTTGCACATATACGGTCTCATTTATTATTAGCATTAGTTCTTTTTACTATTTAATTCTATGGTGTTTGTTTGATAATGATGATAGCATGCTTGCTGTGCCACATACATGGTGGCAGCACTATACAATGCCGCGTCATATCCTGAATATGTCGTATTGGCAGCTGCTATATAGGAACATGTTAAAAGCATTTCTTTTGAAATTTCTAAACTTGATTTTCATTAACAATGTTGCAAACAAACATGACAAATAGACCAAATGGTAAGGGAAAGCAACAAATAAATTATTACTATCATGCTGGTAAATTCGGCTATTGTAACATGGCGCTAATTTCTTTGTTGGAACACTAATTGTGACATAGAAACAAACTGTGTTACAACTTATCCCTGAATAGTGCTTTTGTACCGTGTATATAAACAGTGTATTCATAAAAATTCTTCAAGTGTGCTATATATATGAAACCAAAATTTCTAGAAACTAACAATGCTATCATCGTAAGATTTGAGGTTTTCACAGCGGAGAGTATGAAGATTTCTGTCTTCTGGGTTGTTGCGCTGCGTAGTCTGGTCGATGTTAACCAACGTTTCAGAGGTCATATTCATCGCCCTGATGATGGAGGCAGTATGATCTCTGAAACGTTGGTTAACATCGACCAGACTACGCAGCGCAACAACCCAGAAGACAGAAATCTTCATACTCTCCGCTGTGAAAACCTCAAATCTTACGATGATAGCATTGTTAGTTTCTAGAAATTTTGGTTTCATATATATAGCACACTTGAAGAATTTTTATGAATACACTGTTTATATACACGGTACAAAAGCACTATTCAGGGATAAGTTGTAACACAGTTTGTTTCTATGTCACAATTAGTGTTCCAACAAAGAAATTAGCGCCATGTTACAATAGCCGAATTTACCAGCATGATAGTAATAATTTATTTGTTGCTTTCCCTTACCATTTGGTCTATTTGTCATGTTTGTTTGCAACATTGTTAATGAAAATCAAGTTTAGAAATTTCAAAAGAAATGCTTTTAACATGTTCCTATATAGCAGCTGCCAATACGACATATTCAGGATATGACGCGGCATTGTATAGTGCTGCCACCATGTATGTGGCACAGCAAGCACAAACTGGAGCTGCAACTGGAGCAGCTACTGCGGCTACTGCAAATACAGGCGCTGCAAAATCAACTGGCTCTTGGCAAGGATACAAGAAGGGTCCAATTCCTGGTGGCATGAAAACTATGAAACCAAAGCAACCTCCTAAACCGCAGCAACTTCATTACTGTGATGTTTGCAAGATCAGTTGTGCAGGCCCACAGGTAAAACATTGTTTATTCTGGATTTGAAATGTTCAAATTGAACACAAATTTTATCCAATTTGACTTATTTGATAACTGGACACTTTATTTCAGTTTTCTTTATTTGATGTTTTCCTCAGACTTATCGTGAACATCTGGAAGGCCAGAAGCATAAGAAAAAGGAATCTGCGTTGAAACTGGGGTCGGCTCCAGCAGCTCGAGGAGGCAATGCTCTTCGCTGTGAGTTGTGTGATGTGACTTGTACCGGCTCAGATGCCTATGCTGCACATATCCGTGGGGCCAAACATCAAAAGGTAATAACTCGTAGGTTAATTATCTGGAAAAAGGCACGCTGATGTTTGAGGCAGATCAATTTCTTTCCTTTTTTTAATCCATTACCCCATTCCTTTGGCCAATTTGTATCTGTTGCGTTCCCTCATTTGTTCCGTATCTATTTCCCATTCATCTTATTTGCTCATTTTATCACCCATATTAGAAGTTCTCCAAGCTGTCTAATGGCTGCATCACTTTATGATTGAACTTTTTTTAACTTGTGTCATAGTTAATATCTTTCATGTCTCTGGGTATCCATCGCAAGTCATAAAATATGTCCTATTGTGCGTATATTTGTATGGTAGCACAGGTGAAAGTAATATAAAGCAATGTGTAAAGTTAAACTTTGATGTGGTTTTTTTTTAATGGAGGTTATGTATGTTTATATTTAATAAGGTTTTAGAATTTGCTGTGTATGCAGTTTTAAATGAAAATGCAAGATGAAAGGCTATCAAAATTTGTAAGATTTGAAGTTCTCACAGCGGTGAGTATGAAGATTTCTGTCTTCTGGGTTGTTGCGCTGTGTAGTCTGGTCGATATTAACCAACGTTTCAGAGGTCATACTGCCTCCGTCATCAGGGCGATGAGTATGAAGATTTCTGTCTTCTGGGTTGTTGCACTGTGTAGTCTGGTCGATGTTAACCAACGTTTCAGGGCGATTAATATAAAAATTTGCATTTATTAACAGCTAATGGGAAAACAAAATTGAGGTCCCAAGAAAATATGAAACGACCAATTCTTGGACGGGAGTTGAATAATGACAGGATTGATGAAACTGATTATACCAGAAAAAGAAGATGGAAATGCTTGGCAGAGGAATGACTGATAGAAGTTGTGTTTTTCAGAGCTTTTTACTAATACTGGGAGATAATCGGATACTGGGCTCAGGAAGAGGGCTGTGTGTTGTGTAAATAAGGATTAGAATGATCTCTGTGAATTTGTGGAACAATATCTATCGCACTTTGTCATTTCATAATTTCTGTTGATACTTCAACATCACTAATTTTTTTATTTTGTTCAGGTGGTGAAGCTGCACACTAAGCTTGGAAAGCCAATACCATCAACAGAACCTGTGGTTGTGGGTGGTGGAATTAAGACAACAACAGGTACAACAGCATCCACTACTACCCCTGTAAAAACTGTGACAGCCACTGCAGCAAAACCTGCAATACCAGGGGCTGCCAAGAAAACTGTTACTGCAGCACCTAAGATTAATTTTGTTGCAGGTAAAACATTGATGTAGCAATGTCTGTGAGAAGTGTACACTCTGTTAATGAACCTCCCTTGGTAACCACTTCTCTTTGCGTAAATGGTCGGTTACTGCATTTATGTAAATATAAGCCATGCCCTACTTTTAAGAAGGAAAAAGAAAAAGTCATAAGCTGCATCAAAGTCTTTAAATTAATTTTTCCTTAAGTACAGCCAGGGTTATAAAAAATTTTAAGTTCAAAAATAATTTTTTTAGTGTTTTAGTGATTTCCGATCACTGTGCATCCTGTCACACATAACCTGCTGGTCTTGTGAGAATGCAATTCCTAATATTGTAATTACACTGCATCTGCAGGTGACAACCATTAAAATGGGGGGGAGAGAGAGAGAGGAGACCAGGCCTCTACCAAATTTTGCTCTTATCCATCAGATTAGTAATTGGTTCATGTGACAAACCACTGGACTACTGCTCATGTTTTTAGACACTATAATGTTTTTGGAACCCATCATGTGCACCCTCCACTTACTCGAGCATCGACGTTTCACTCGCTAGTGTTGGCACAGTAACGTGCGGGTGATGACTGATGTGGGCAGAGGGGTGGCATTGTTATTAATGACTATACATGTGCCCATCCCACATGTGTTACATTACTCCCCCCCCCCTCTCTCTCTCTCTCTCTGTGCCTCTGGTATTTTGCTAAACAGATTTTGTGTGCTTCATCGTAAAGGATCTGCAGTGTAAATATAAATAGAGACTAGTGTTGGAATTTGTCAACATGATTTTGAGTATGTTGTTAAATTAGCAAAAAAACTTTTCCTATTATTTATAAAAATTGTATACAGTGTGGGTGGAAAGTAAGTAGGCATGAGAAATGGTTATAACCTCTGTATTTCCCATGTATAGCGATTATTTAATACCTACTTAATTCCCACCCACCCTGTAGTTTGCATGGGATGTATGTTTAATGTGCTGCTTGTTGCAGCTGGATCTCTAGGAACAGTGGGAACAGCAGCTACAGGAATTAAAAATGAGCCTACTGAAGTGAAATCTGACGTTAAGGAAGAGCCTGCCATGTCTGACTCGGAACTCACTCTTAGTGATAAAGATGTCCAACCAGTAGGTCAGGATTATATTGAGGAAATTAAGAATGATGAAGGTGAGTTGGGTTATTGTGATTTATATGTTCCTTCACGTAAACTAGGACTGTTAAAGGTTCGATAAAATCGTATGAGAATGAGAAAGTGAGGATGGCTGTGTTCTGGGATGTTGTGCCACATATAGTACACTATCGTTTTAGAGATGCTTAGTGACTTGATCATCAGGGTGAGATTTTAAAAGTTTGATCGTAAGTCCTTTCCAGAGTGTATCACACCAACAGTATTTGGTTAATTCTCTCGTATATTGACTGAATTTTTACTTGTGTGTAGG